CCCAGCCAGGAACATTGATCCCCTGGAACTTCTCCATTTGGTTCTCAAGCTCCTTGATTACGAGGATCACCTAGCTAAGGAGGGCATTGCTAGTGCTGCAGGTCTCAGTGGCCTCGAGGAAGGGCTTGAGGACCACCAAGATCTGGGAGATGGTATCCCACTTTGCTTTGTTTAGGGGGCCGCTGATCCCAATCTCCCTGAATAAGGCCATCTCATGGATGGCTTTCTGTTGCTCCACCAGCCTTTCCACCATCAGGTATGTAGTAGAGTTCCACCAAGTCGCCACATCCTGCATGATTGTGTGGTGCAGGATGCTCAGCTCTGCCTGTTTGTCCTGCAGCATCTTGCCCGCCTTGATGCTGAGGTGGAAGTAGCCTGCCACCTTCCTGCATTTTGAAATCAGCGGATGGTAGTGATGGTGCCATCTCCGGCAGCCCTGTCCCCCTCCAAGGTGTCCCTGACTATGAGGTGCATCCAGTGTGCCACACAGCAGATGCCAACAAAGTTGTCGGTGACTATGAACCCGTGAATGAGCTCACCCTGCCCAACGAGTCATCCCTGCACCATGCGGTTCATGGCCACCTTGATCTCCCTTGCTGTGTGGAACTCATTCATCACCTCTGCTTGAAGGAGAGCCCACTGACAGCCTGGCTGATTGCACCGGTGCCCTGTGAGAGAGAGAGAGGTAAGCATGATCTCCAGCCTGGCTGGTCCCGATGTCGGAGGTGAAATGCAAGGCTACCTGCAGACCTGCCTTGCACAGCTCCTCCCTTCCCTGCATGCCTTATACAGGGAGGTTACCTCCGTCCTGCTAAAGGTGGTGCTTGCGGGCACTTGGTAGGATGGGGCCGCAAGCCGCCTGAACCCTGGCCGTTCAACTAAGGAGAAGGTTAAACATCTCCGATGATCTGGGTGACCTCGCTCGTCTTCACAACATGACCTGCTTTGTGTGTGGGATGGGGGATGAAAGTGGAGAGATACCTGGGGAGTCAGTTGCCAGGCAGGTTATAATGTGTCATAAATCTAATGTCTATATTTAGTCCATGATTTTTAGTATTCAGGACGTTGATGAAGTGGAGTTCATAGGCTCGTCTCTCGGAAGTATTTTGTAAGTTTCCTTTGAGGATCAGGCCTGAGAGATTGGAGAGAGAGTGGTTTTCTTGTGAGAAATGTGCCCCCACAGGTAACTGGTTATTTCTGTCTTTGATAGATTTCCACTTTCATCCCCCTTCTCTCTCTTCCCCCCCTCCCCAGCCTCTCTCTCACCCATTGACTCCTCAGTCTACATTTTCACTGACTACCTGTCTTGTATGCATACCAGCCCAGCCTCTGGCTTCTTTACTTTTCATTCCATCCAGGAAAAGCACACACCAACTGCTGAAACTTCCTTAGCCTGACGAAGGGTTTTTGAGCCCAAAAGCTTGCTTAATAATTGTTTTCCAACTATTTAAGTTGGTCTAATAAAAGATATCAGATTCACCCAAAGAACCTTGTCTGCCTATGTCCTTAGACCAATACGGCTACAACCTACACCCCTGTAATTGATTTACATACTTTCAACATTTTTACCAATCAACTTGAAATCCAGTTGTTCTTCTAAAATAAATTAAAAGTAACTTTAGGTAGTGCACTTGATTGCAGCCCATTTTTCCCTTCAAAATCAGATTTTTCCTGCATATCTTAATTTTCTCTTTCTCACTATTGTCTGAAAGATTTACACAGACAAGGAAAACTGGCTAACTAGAAAACTAACTGTGAAAGTGAAGATACTTGTTTTACTTTGAAATAACCCCTAGTTAACATTCGACTGTTCTTCCTATGATTTTTAAGAACTATTGATATTACTTGGTTACTAACAAGCCCCTAAGGGTTAACAAATTTAAACGTTTTAGTGAAGACAACCCAATTTAGGCTCTGATTCTTCAAGGCAGAGCTCTGCACACAGGAAGAATATTTTGCAGAATCAGGGCCTTGTGTTCCAGTATATGTGCTGCTACATTGAGGCAATATTAAAGTCTGTGGAGACTACACTGATAGATGTTTCTCTAAAATTTCCATTGGAATGGGAGCCTGGCTAACTCAATCCATTTTTTTCATTGCTCTTATCACTAGAAACTTTCTCTTAGTATGTAACTTAAATCTCGTTTACTGCAAATTCAGATGATTTCTGATTGACTTGTCTCCAGTGAACAGGGAAGACAACTGATTACTCTCTTCTTTGTGATAACCTTTTACATATATATCATGTCTTCCCGAAGCCTTCTCTTTTGTAGAGAAAGCGCTTGTAATTCCTTCAACCTCTCCATGCCATAGCCTGGCCCATTATTTTACTGTACTGTCTGTGCTGCATGGATAACTGGAGGCAATATATTTCCAACTCCCTGGGACTAGTTAAATTCTAGTTAGTATTTCTAATTTAGAGTTTCTAGGGCACACTCACAGGTGTTGACCTTTTTTGACACCCCGGGCTGCCATCCATGGCCCTAGACCCTAAAAACTAGTGTCTGAGAGAGCCTCCCCCCCCCAATCACTTGCTCAGACTCTCTCTGTCCCACCAATGCTATGGGAACTCTGGCCTTGCTTGGTTTAACTTACTGGGAAAACAGTAGGTCAGAAAAGTGAAGAGCACAGGTTTAGCAAAAGGATTGCTTGACCTTGTTGATTATACTCATACAGATTAGAGAGTTGCAGTTCCTTGGGAAAAAAATCCTAGGTGTCACCCTCTCCTAGTCTGAGCTTTGTCAGATATTTTGGGTGGGTAGAGTCCACCCTGTTCTCCTTAAAATGGGTGAGGAGTAGCCCCTCACAGACCAGAATCTGACTCTTGTGTAAGGCCATCTCCATGTAATGTGCTCAAACTGAAAAGGTCTAACTCTACTGGTTGTGGTTATCTTCTCTTATATGTAGGCCCTAGAGGAGTAGGGCAATTATTCTATGTACAAAATTGAGGTAGCACTGTGGATGGCACAGTATCTAGTGAATGCTTCTCTCTGTTACAAAATGCTATGGTCACAGATTATTTAGATATTATGGAAAAGTTGGTTTTATGTTAGCTAATTGTTCTTGATTTTAGTATAAGAATGTTGTTGCTTTGCTTTCCTAATGCATGTCTCTAAATTTGCAGAACCCACAAGAAGATACAGATCTTACCACAGCGATGTTTATAGTACCTCCAGTGAAAGTCCATCTATTACTTCTTCTGAGCCAGATTTTAGGCAAGGTAAGAACATTAAAATATTTAAAACTGAATTTAAATAACAATAACAGAAGAAAACAAAGAGAAACACTTAGAAGTAATTTAAAATAAGTACAGCATGTATAAAGAAAAAAAACCCTAAACTAGAACACTTAAGAGCAAAATCAATACTAGGAAAATGACAAGCCACATAAGGATTTTATTTTTATAAAATATATTAATACAACACAGAAGAAGTCAGATATTCATATAAGAAGAAGCGATTATATATAGTTATTAATATTATTATAGTTACATATAGATTAAAAACAACACAGAAGAAGTCAGAGATTCAGATTAACACAACACAGAAGTCAGACAGTCATAGAAGAAGAAATTATTTTAGTTACACACACAACAGTAAAAACAACACAGACGAAGTCAGAGAGTCATAGAAGAAGAGATCAGATTATATATAGTTGTTATTATTAATTATACTTACAGTTAGACTACAGATAACACAGAAGTCAGATACAGATTCAGATTAACACAACAGAAATCAGAGAGTCATAGAAGAAGAAGAGTAATTATTTTAGGTACACTACACAACAAACAACAGTAAACACAACATAGAATAAGTCAGACATAGTCATCTATCAGAGAAGAAGAAGACAACATATATACTATTATTAGTTAGTTACACACATAGACACATTTTCCAGCACAGGAAAGATTAATATGAAGTGTCCTGGGAAGGCAGATGCCAAGTCTTCTGGCGGGAGAGGGAGGGGGGGCTAGAAAGGATAGGGAGAGACCTAGAGCTGCAAGTCTCCCCCCCTCCCCCCAAACATAGATGCATCCTCATTCCTGGCAGCCATGTGCCAGTGGAAGCAAGGAGGTGGGAACAGTACCTGTCCCTACACCTGCACTACTTCCCCTAACTCCAGAATTAGGCACCAGCAGCAGAATGACAGTCTCCTCCACCCAAATTTCATCTCCCAGCATGAGCATCCCACTGCCAGAGGAGGACCTGGATCTGGAACCAGGGGACCTGAGCACCCTAGCTAAAGAAATTCTGGAGACCGAGAGGGAATCTCTGAGTTTGTGCTCCACAGCCCCCAAAGTTCCCCTAGACCCAGGTCTCCTTCAGTAGAAGGCACCTTGGAGGAGGTTATGGAGGCAAGTAGATCAGCTGAGTCAGTTCCTGCTGTTGTGCCTCTGCCTGCTGAGGAGGGGGATAAGGTAGGATCCCCACCCTCAACCCAGAAATGGGGAAGTAGTGTAGTGTGGGATCATTTTGAGGTGGCAGATGATCCCAAGTATGCTATCTGCCAGCACTGCCAAAGGCAGATCAGCTGGGGCAACGAGGTGAAACACTTCTCCACCACAGCGATGCTGCTGTATCTGAAGAGGCAGCACCCCCTGCCAGCACTGCCAAAGGCAGATCAGCTGGGGCAAGGAGGTGAAACACTTCACTACCACAGCGATGTTGCTGCATCTGAGGAGGCTACAACCTATACCCCTTCTTGAGGAGGCTACACCTGCATCTGAGGAGGCTACAACCTACACCTTGCCCTTTTTCCTCCTCAGCCTGACACCAGTGGGAGTGTGCCCAAAGGAAAGTCCACCTCTCCCTCCAAAGCCAGTATCCCCATGAAGCAGAGGCAAGCCACCCTGGAGCGGTGGAGAAAACCCACACACAAAGCGGGGCGCGTTGCAAGGACGAGCGAGGTCACCCAGAGCATCGGAAAGTTTAACCTTCTCCTTAGTTGAGCGGCCAGGGTTCAGGCGGCCTGTGGCCCCGCTCACTCCAAAGCCCCCGTCCCCCCAAAGCAGAGGCAGGCCACCCTGGAGCGGTATCCAAAACAACATCTCTGTTTCTACCATTCAATTCTTATATAAAAATTCTCATTTCATTAACCATAAGCCGCTTAGCCGCATCAGACAATCAAGAAAAACCCCTCTCCATAAAATCAAAACACAACCCCTCACTGTCCCAGCTTTCTCTAACTATTTAATTGGTTTACTAAAAGAAACCAGATTGACCCAAAGTACCTTGTCTGCCAGTGCCATGTCCTTAGAGCATCACCCCTACCACCTGTCCCTGGTCAGCTGACCAGAAGGACACAGGGCCCTGGGCACATCTAAGCCCTAGGGCTGGGATTGGCAGGGAGAGTTTTCTGGCAGCTGCTGGAGAAGAAGCTCCTGCAGGAAAGGAAAGAAAGGATCTAGCCTGTGCCAGTTTGACTGCCTGAGATGCTAGTGCTACTGTGCTGCAGTGCACTGGAGTGCTTACCTGTTGTTATTTAAAGTGGTGGACTGGACTGAGGCTGTAGGGGAGGAGGAGACCTCATTGGGGCACACTACCATGTCGTGTAGACGCCCCAGCACCAGTGAGGGCACGCCTTAATACACACACACACACACACACACACACACACACACACACACACACACACACACAGAGTCATACAATGAAGGTGCACCTTAATACATACACTGGAGATGAAGCTCCTGCAGGAGAGGAAAGAAAGGCTCGGTCACAGTTTGGCTGCCTGAGATGCTCCTGGTGCTACTGTGCTACTGCTTACTAAGTTATTTTATACCTGTTGTTATTTAAAGTGGTGGACCGGGCTGAGGCTGTAGGGGAGAAGGACTCCTCATTGGGGCACACTGCCATGTCATGTAGATGCCCCAGCACCAGTGAGGGTGCGCCTTAACTCACATACAGTGTCACCCCTGTCAGGAGTTTTGCTTGTCAGCAGCCTGGGATGCAGTTTCGTAGAACTCCTTGCACCTATCTCCTTGAAAGCTGGCAGGCTTCGTGGCCTCAGCAGGGGCTAGCATGCCTGCAGTTTTCACCCTGCTGTGCCTTAACACACACACACACACACATAATACAAGTTTTGCTTTCAAGACTTGGAGGTAGTTTCCCAGAAAACCCTGCACCTATCTCCTTGAAACTTGGCAGGCTTCATGAGGGGGCTACCATCCCTGCAATTTTTATGTGAATCAGCCAAAAAATGACAGTTATAGGTATTTCAGTGATTTCCCATTATACTCTATGGCCAAGTATCTGAATTGGCGTCGAATTTTCCAGAGCCAATTTGGCTGAATTGAATCACTGTCCTCCAAGTCAGCCGAATCCAAATTGAATACTTCCCTATTTGCACAGGCTTACCAGGCAGGCACTCTTGAGGGTGTGGGGGCCGAGGGGGAATCGAGGATCAGGAGTCCTCGGGAACGCTAGCTGGGGTTGCGGCTGCGATACCGTGACGGGCAGATGGGTACTCTCTATCACCGGAGCAGAATTAGGCACAGACGAGACACGTATCAATTGGAAAAACAGAGATGGCTTTACTTACACTGTAGAGTCGTATACAGCGCAGGCAATTGTAGTTGCAACAATTCTATTCTCTAATCGGTAATCGGGGAGCTCTTGTAGACCGGGTAGCTCGGGTCTAACTCGGGCATGCAACACAAGGATACATCGCAAGGCTTTGCTGACGGGGAGTCGTTGGCAGGTGATCAAGCTGCCGGAGTTCTACTCCAGGGGGAATCGCGGAGTTCTCCAACTAGGGCAGAAACGCCCCTAACCTTTTATACGGCTACCGAGCCAATTGCCAGCCGCCATGTGGGAATAATTTAACATCGGCCAATTGTATTATGCAAATCTGCATTTCCTCGGCGGGAACTCTATCCACACCGGAATTCTTCACCATGCCGTGACTTCCCCTGCCTTACCGTGCCTTGTGCTAGAAAGTTCCACTGTGTCGAGGCACTGATCCAAATCAGCTCTGACAGGGGTTTGAGGGGCAAGGTCCTGCGTGCCCTGGTAAATCTTGCTTAGGATCAGGCCTCTCGAGCCTCAGAAGTGTCTGCCTGGTTTTCCCTGTTTCCAGAGACATGCATCAGAGACTGTTGGGGGTACATCTTGGAAGTGGGGAACCTTGACTTTCCCTGCTTCTGAGGACACACCTGAGAGATTGCAGGGGTGCATCTCTGAAAGTGGGGAACATGTTGCCTGTTGTCCTACAAGATAGACAGGTGGGATAATGGGGAACATGTATTTCAGACAAAGAAGTGAATCAGCTGTACTGGAACACAGCCCAACACAGCTGATTCACTTTGCTTGGCAATGTCTCTTTCTAGGATGGAACCAAGCGTCAAAACAACAGGAAAGTATATTATGTAGCTACTGTGTTCTTTACAAAGTTTTCTGGACTATAATCAGAAAGTTTTATAACCAGAAACTTTACAAAGTTTTCTGGACTATAACCATATTTTACTGAGTCGTTTGATTTTAGTTTTTGTCTGGATATAATTATTCCAAAGAACAAAAAAATGTATTTCAGGAAAATTCTAGGAAGATGTAAACTGTGCAACACATTAGGAGAGTGCGAATCCTAGGCTGTGATTGCCTGAACTCCATATGGTTAACGTGTTTCAGTTTGGGGATGTTATGATTGAAAAAGTAAAGACATTGGGTTTGGTAAATGCATTTCTGAGTGGTGGGTGAAACTCGGGGCTTATTATTTCATCCCAGAAGTACATTCTGGCCTTAACAGCTGGACCTGCATGAGGGGGCAGATGGAATTATCATTTCATTCCTTGGAACTACTGTTATTTTCCAGTCTTTGGAAAGAATGGAGAAGACATTCATGCACTCTCCTGTTACTTAATGTAGGTGGGATAGTGGTGGTTGATGACATGATTATCACAGAGTGGAATCTGAGAATGCTCCTCCTGCTGTTTTCATCTACTTAAGAAACCAGAAACTGTATAGGTTACAGAGCACTCCACACAAAGTGCTGAGTGGCATTACCACTCACTGGGAAGAGTGGGGTGTTGTCAATGGAGGTCTCTGTACCTTACTAAATCAAGCCCCAATTGCAGTATTAGTATGGATAGATGTTGACTTTCTCCTCCAGACAATTACAATAAACAAGATCTCCATTATCAGAAAAGATAATTTATATTTAATAAACTATGAAGAGGAAGACAAATCCAGAAACAAAACTAAAAATTGCAGCTGCTGGGTAGCATCCCTTGTTTTGAGTCAGTATAATATTCACCAGTGGCTGTTCTGGGCATACAGAATCTTTTTACACTTCAGTTTTCCTTACTGCAATTCTGAGGTCTCACAGTTCTATTGAAATTGAATGATTTCAATTTAGAATAACACACACACAATTCCATATTTTAACACATTTCTCCAAATGTTTATGCAGCAGTTCTTGGAGGGGGGGAAATACAATCTTTTTTAAAACTGAAATTGACTTTTTAATGCTAATTTCTCTAATACTGTAATGGCATTGTTCACTACGTGTACATCTGATCCTTTCAAAGTAATCTCAGATGTCTGATAAATCCTTGATATTTAGGTAGGATTACCTCTTTGTGGTTTCTAGCCTTTGCAGGTATTAATTTATCTGTGTGTCTTTTTCACGTGCTAGGGAAAAGGAATAATGGTGTAAAGAGAGATGATTCCAGCAGTGCTTTACCAGGAGCTGGTGATACCTCACTATCAAGTCAAGTTCATCCTCAAAGGGGAAGGTAAATTATGTGACATTATCATATTTTCCAATCCTTGCTTTCCCTCACAAGAATTACTCCTTAGTTGCATTCATGTGATTAATTTTTTTATCACTTGTGCTAAACTTCCAAAAATAAAAAGTGCCATATTTTTATCTTGGTGGGAGCAACATTTTAGCAGTGTTATTTTGCATACAGCAGATGATTCAAGACACATCCTGGTTGAAATCTAACATAATCCAGTTAAAAGTTCAACTCAACTTGCATTCTTTAGTCTGAGTTGAATTAGACCCTAAAAGACTTTCCCTGTGCTCCTGCTGGAGCCACACAGCTAGGACCTGCATACATGCCACTGCTGCTTCTCCAAGCCCCCCACTTCCTGGATTCAGTGGCTCCATGAGCCAGTTCCAGTCCACAGGTCATATGTTGCTGACCTTTACTCGAAAATGATTAGTTGGACCATTTTACTCATGGTTTATAGTAGAGATGTTAAACTCATGGGAGTCCTTGTGATCTAGACCCAGAGGCCATAAGGGTTAAGGTAGCCATCATTCACCCTCACACCACTGGCACATGTCCTCAGTTGGGCCCCATACCCCAGATTTAAGAGGAGGGCCCCTACCCCTACTCACCCTTCTCCCAAATTCCTAACCTGTCTAGGAGCTTCATGGGCCACATTACTTGGCTGCATGGGCCAGATCTGGCCTGAAAAGTGAACATTTGACACCCCTGGTTTATAGCCACCAAAATTATGACTTTGAACTGTTGCTCCTGTCAGTTTTCCCATTAATATCATGTTCTTATCAGTATCACCAAAGCCATGTATGTCTTTGTTTCTCCCTAGAACATGTTACAATAGCAGCTGCGTACTCAAAGTTGCATAGGTGTTTCTATTCTGCAGTGTCTTTTTTGTGGCATATAATTTTCATGTGATTCCACCTTTGAGGCTTAAGTGTCCCATGTCCACTCTCTGCCAAATGATGACTCATTTTAGAAAGTACAGCCAAAATACCTTATTTTCTTGCATACAACACAACCCAAAACATAATACTCTCCTTGTTTTTGAAAGACAAATAGAAGATAAAATGATCTTTTTCTGTATTAAATAGTTGAGCAGCAGCAGCTAGAGAGCTGAGCCTGCTCATTATTCTGCCCCCTGTGGATCACTGTACATCTTACTTTCAGTTTCACCAAGATGGAACCTGTTCATACCATATTTCTCCCATATAATGTATACTCTAATTTCCAGCAGCTGTTTTTCTGGAAGGAAGTGTTGTTGTATGCAAGGAATACAAAAATACAGGAGTGGAAAGAAGGTCACTCCTACAGTTACTTAAAAAAAAATTAACAACCCTTGACTTCAGCTGTTTGGGGTAGATTGTTAAATGTAATCTTGATGGAAGTATCAATACCAAGGAACAGATTGAAAAGGAGCCCTGCCTCATCCCATGCCAAAAATGAAGGTACACATGAAAATTGGAGTCATGTGAATGAATGTATCAAAATGTCAGTAAAAGAATGGGAGAATCCCTGCTTCCTTCAGTTCAGATATACAATGGAGTGATGCAACTAAGGCAGAGAGCTCCACATTGAATAGTGCAGTTAAAATAAATGATGAGCGTCTGCCACATGCACTGTTCACCAGGCACTCAATGCACCAAGTGAGGCAGTGGTCCTCTAGATAAATAGGTGATCATGTACTTAAGGACAGTATTAAACTTGATGCCCAAAGGAGCAAAATTAAAATTGCACAACCAGCCTGAACTTAGGCACTTCCTAAATGTCTGTTTCCCTTTGCAACTTTAATGTTCTAATATATGGATTGTGCATGAGATCATATCATTTCATTCAGGAACTCATTTAGAAACTTGTGTTTGTTTATTGACGGGAAGGAGACATTCTACAGGAATTGCGTATATACATGTGTACTGTGTTGCTGGTATGTATATGTCGGTATGCATATATTAAATATGCAGGCATATGTAATGCATAGAGAGGTATTCTCTTAGAGTAACTCTAGGGAATACATTAGCGTTCCGCGTCTTGATGCAGGAGACTGTGGACCTGTTTCTGAATTTTTAAGGCAAGTTTTCTAGGAACCTGTGAAAGCTTTCTGTTTTGTGCAATCCCATTAAAAATAGTGTTATAAAATTCTATTATGTATGGTGTTCCAAATCCAGTCAGAGAGAGACTTTCATGCAAAGGTAAATAGGAAAACAAATCATTTTCCACACAAAAAGTAACTTAAAATTTCCTGTTTTGACTTTTCCATCCTTGTTTTCCTAATTAACTACTATGGCTGCCACTAAGTCCCACAATGAAATCAAATTGCTATAAATGACAGTGAAGTTGCAAATTCAACATTACAGCAACATTGGAAGAAAATAAACCAAACGGGTAGGCAGTGAGAGTTTACAACAAAGCATTTAAAGAATGTTGAGGAATTATGGGTGCTTACAGACATGGGGGAGAAAAAATCTAGCATTTTACTTTCAGCTTGGTGCACCCCTGCGCCAAGTCCGGCACATGCCCAGAAGAGGAATTACAGCAGTTTGACCTGGCTTGCCCAGCATCTGTATAGCTCCCATGCTTCAGTGGGGCTTTCTGGCACTTTTATCTAATAGCTGATTCAATCAGCTATTAGATAAAAGCACCAAAAAGCCCTGCTGAAGTGCATGAGTTATACAGATGCTTGAGAGCCAAGTCAAACTGATGCAATTCCTCTTCTGATAAAGCACTGTTTTTTGTGTTTTGCCTTTTTTTCCATGTCTGTCAGCACCCTATAACTAGGGACAGACATTACACATAAACTGGTGTAAGTGATCAGAAACTGGTTTAAGCCTGTAACAGAACAGATGTTCAGAGCACATAAACCAGTTTGAAAATAGCTGAAAAAGGCTTGTGATAAACCTGGTTGAATATAGTATCAGACTTAACTGATTTGGCTCAAACCGGTTTATGCAATGTCTGTCTGTGACATCTGTAGGTATTATAGGGCTTGCTCGTGCTGCCCTGTGCTTGTCTCCCTACAGGTGGTAACAGGGTAGACTTTGGGTCTGGATCACCAGGTCTGCCAGGAAGTGGATCTTACATTTTTCTCACCTGCCATGACTTTGATGACTTATATATTCCTTGGAGGCAATGCCCATGGTGATCCTGCCTGGTCTTAATCCCTGTGTCTTCGGTGGGGCTCCAAACCTCCCCTTTACCCCAGCCTAGCCTCTCCAGATGGTGTTTTACGATGTTCTTCCACAGCCAGGTTGCAGTGCTGCCTGTTGTAGCCTTCTCTGCACCCCAGCGTGTCCTAGTGCCTCTTTTGGGTACATCCTTCCACAGGCCAGTCTTGGCCTGTGCTCAATCAAAATAGACAGCAAAAGAAATCACAGAAAAAACCCCGGCTGCTTCTCAGCCTTCTTGTCAGGCTCTGGCAATGTCCCCCCCCAAAAAGAATTCCATAGTCTATTCTCTGCTGTGTGCTAGCCTGCCCTGCACCCCTATGAATGTACACAGTCTTCTTGGGGTCTCCCCCTTGTGCAGGAAGGCTCTACCTGTGACTGTAGATTGTTCCCTTCCAGCCCTCCTCCGGATCCTCTATTGGAAAAACTCCAGTTCGGAGATTTTTTCTGTCCTTGTGGGCTCCCTCACTCCAGATCCTCAGCTGCAGCTCCGCCTGCCTCAGGGTCACTCCCACAGCGTTCCACAGGCCCGTTCTACAGTTTCTGCCTGCCAAGACACTCAGCTGCTCCCCTTTCCCTGCAGCCTGCAGGGAACTGACTCCTCTCTGCCTCTCTCTGGGGCCAGAAATACCTTTGAGCAGCCTCCCTCTGCCAATCCTGAGCAAGATGCTGCTCTGAAAATTGAGTGGGTATTTTCCTTCCTTTCCAGGCTGCAGCTGCAGCCCTGCCAGGCCTCCATGCTGTAAGTTCTGTCTCCCTCCTTCACACTGTCCCAGACCCCTTGCTGGTTTAAGTTAAACCAGACACCCCCAGCATCCCAGCACACTCTCTGGGCCGGGGCAGGGGGAGGGGAGGCTCTGTGTTCCACAGCAGAGCTGGCCCCTCCACTCTGCTCCTAGGCTGGAGCTCAGCAGAGACTGCAGGATGCTCCCCCCTTCCCCCTACCACTCCCTGTTAAGCAGGAATTCCCCCCTCCCCTCTGCCTTGCTGAGAGGTGTCTGTGTATTAGCTAGCAGACCACGTGCTGGCTACGGTCTGTGCTGTGGCAGAATCAAAGGCAGAATCAACAGGTAGCTGGCAATGTCCCTCTGTTGGTTTCTTAATGGGGTGATAAATGCTGTTATCAATTCCCTGCTGGGTTAATCAGAGTGTACTGTCAGGGCCTAGCCACGCCCCCCCTCAGATCAGTATTGTGGAAGGGAGGGAGGGCTGCTTTAGTGCCCCTCAGCTTCTAGCCTGAGCCACTGCAGGCATGTGCCTGCATGTCTGGGATGTCTGTACAGTTACAAACTGATTGAGCCTAGTCAGGTTAGACTAACCTGCAAAGATTGAATCAATTCAGTCTCAGGCTTTTTGAATGTCTGTTCCCAGCCTATGTGATATGTAAATGGATCATACTGTTGGGGTTGCCTGCTTCACAAGTGAAAGTCCTTCTTTGACTCAATGAGAACATGTTTTCTTTGTTTGTGTAATGTAGCAATGTGTATTATGCAAAATCTAGAAAGGAAAGTATTGCTTTGCAAAAGCTTACAGATGGGCTGAGCTGCAAAGATCACATCTGTATCTGATCTTACTCCAAAATGCAGTGAAGTTTGGATCCATGGTTTCAGATTATTTCCATACCTCTGCTTTGGCCTCAGAGTTTCTGTTCTTCCTCAGAAGTGGCATGCTTGAGAGTACACCATTCATTGTCCTAATAGTTTCCATGATTTTTGTCTTCACAAATTAAAGAGCTTTTCTAACTGCTGTTTCAGCAAATGCATCTAAGATCTGAAAATTCAGCTGGGTTTTTAAAAAGATATTGAAAGCAAATGTTGGTGCACAACTCTGTTGCTTCCGTGAAAACAGTGGGTTCTCCAAAGTAAATCAAAGAGCAGAATTTGATCCTGCAGTAGGAATCTACCTAACTTTTCTGTTGATTGTCTAAAACAGAATAGAAAGCAGATCCCTCTCCAACAGCATTATAGACTTGGCAGCACTAACAACTTCAATAAATAGAAGTGACTTGTTATTATCAGTAAAGGCAGTAGTTACACGATGGCTTAAAGAGCAAATTAGTAGAGTGAAAGCGTGCTGTGTTTTTTAAAAAGCAGTTTTCACAATTACAGTGTACTTTCTTGTATTATGGAAAAGTAATGCTTTATAGTGTTGAAGATGTATAGTTGCTGAAGTAAATTTCACTGCCAAAATTAAAACTCTCAAGACTGCCAGGTTTTAATTTCTTCTAGGTGCTGTAATTTTTATTCTAAGTAAGGCCTGCCCTGTTCAGTCACCCAAAAAAATGTCCAATTGTTTGGATTCTTACGTGTAAGTCTTAATTATATCTTTCTCATCTGAGCTCATGACTACTAGAACAAGGTATGTGATTTAGCATTGGAGAGCTTATAGTAGAGGTGGGCAGTTATTTCAGGTGGAGGGCCGCTTACTGTGTTTTGGCAAGCTGTCAAGGGCTGCATTGGTAGCCCTGCCCCTTGACAGATCCCCCACCCCCAACCCCTTACCTTTGCCACCAGAAGTCCCTCCCCTTGCCCCCAGAAGTACTCCTTTCAGCAAGAAGTTTTGCCATCTTGGAACCAGAAAAATACCAAATTATATTCTAAAAAGTGAATACCTACAGCATTCATTAATTTGGTTTCAAAAATATTTTTGTCCTGATTTACATGTGTTTGTGTAGTGTACATAGAGGTGATTGCACAATAGCTTAAAATGAAGTCTTACTCTTGTATATTGTGGTGGGTAGTCATAGGTTTGTGGGGGGCCATGAGTGTGTGGGTATGTGGGGTGAGAGAGCATGTGGGTATGTGTATGTGGGGTGGGGGAATAGGAATTCATACTTCTAAAAGCATACTTCTGTAATTTTGTGGTCTTTCTGAGTTCTTTGCAATAGAAGAATTGCTCTATTATTTTTCTATAGTCAAAAAACAAGTGAAAACTAAGAGCTGACATTTTCTAAGGGGTGCCTTGAGTCTAAAAAGGTTGAGAACCACTGCCCTAAGCCTTTTGGAATGCTGTCAGTACCATGGAAATTTGTATTCTCCCTCTGTGTCTATTGTCCTCTATTCTTGTTTCATATTTTCTTCCTCCTTTATTTCTTCTTCCTTTTCCTTTCTAGGGGCAGCAACTGACATGGATCTACTCCTTCTCCTGCTGTTGCCTTTGTTTTCCAAGTATTTGATAGGTTCCACTTCCAGCTCTTCCCTTGCTCCTTGTGCGTCCTTCTCCCTCAGTCAAATCTGCTCCTGATCTTCCCACCCCACTGTTCATTAGAGATTCCTTTATCTCTCCCTCTCCCCAGCTTCCTTCTTTGATCCATACTTGGTCATTTCTGGGTAAGTACATCAGGCAATGAGTTAAGTACCCATTTTTAAAGGTATTAGTCTTCCAGTGGACTGGTCACCCAGTAGAATTGGCTTAATAATTAACAGAATTAGCCATGGAATCACAGACAAATTCAGGCTGACCCTGTGGCCTTAGACCATGTTGTTGAAGGGTAAGGGCACATATTTTAGATAAGCTGCTACTTGGCATTTGCACAGAGCTTTTCATCTATTTATGATTCTTGACAAAGATTGATCATTAGCGTCATCTTTTCACAGACAGATGAATGGGTTCCTGGTCCTTAAATGTACTGGGTGAATCAGATCATTGCAAAGCTAGGCCTGGTTTTCTATTTATAGTCCATTCACCAAACTATGTATTATAGCAGTTATGGCATGACACATCTGCACAGATGTTTCATGTGTAGTTTATTCTGTTTAAGTGCATGGCCTTCAGACAGAAAAAAGGCTACATTAAACTCAATGTATACAGTGCTTGTTAACTACAGGAACAGCCTAGCTGTAAGCTTGTTTTACCTCATTAAGACTTGTTACATTGTTTCCCAAAGTGCTTTAGCAGCCTTGAAAAGGACACTTCCAGTCAGTTTCATGAATTAGATAGTTAAACAGTACAGTTATGTTACAAAATAGACTTCCTTTGTGCTAACACTGTTTGCATCCTAGCTGATATGCTGTTAACCAAAGTTTGTTAAAATGTAAGATATAGGCAACAAATTGGGACTGGTGTTGTTATAGTTATGCACATGTCCAGTATGCATATAGTGGAATTCACTGTACCCCTCTGCCTGGAAACAATGAGGCAGGGAGGAGATGAGGGGGAAGAGTTCCCCCCAGCATGGAACAGAGCCTTGCCTGCCCTGGGGAGGGAGGAGTGGGGGGAAGAGTCCTCCTCTGGGGCT